AGTGGCAACTGTACTTGAGCAGATCTGTAGAAGAATGTTTCCTGCTGGCAACATTTCTAAAACTTTGAGGTTACATTTGTGACCCCTTTGGGCAGATATGCTTTATGCTTGAAAACATCAATTATAATTTACTTGGTGAAATAAACAGAGAATGCAAGTGGCAACCATGTTAGAAAGAAGTCTCCAGTGATTATCTTAAAAGAAGTTTGTGCCTTTTGCCAATCTTCTTTGTAAGGGTGACAAGTTTTACGGTCTCAATTTTGTTCTTTCATCTCTGTGCTGAGCATATTTCATCTTGCACTGTTTGAAGGTTTTCCTTGGCTCCTATTTTACGTTGCAGAAATTTCAGGGCTGAAGTATCTCACTGTAGGAGCTCTCTCTGGACAGTTCACTAGTCCACAACATGCAGACATGTAGCGCTTTAACCGTTTGCCCTGTGCTGGAAGTTGTCAGCATAACTTCATAGCGCTGCCGTGGTGGTGTGTCTTCAAGAGAACAAACTCTATGCCAGGGAAATTCTCTGATGGCAGTCTCTATCCTGTTAACGTATTACTTTCCACTGAAAACACTAAAAACTAAAATCGCTAAAGCCAAAATGTTTGAAAACAGAACAGTTATTGGTGTCTTCATCTTACAGATGGGGAAGCTATGCATGCTGCAGTGAAGTGACTTAGGCAGAGTCACCCACCAGACCGCCGGCAAGGCTAGGAATAAATTACATGTCTCCTCCCTCCTTGTTCATCCTTGTGCTCTTTCTGCCTTTTCTCCCTTGTCCCTCCCCAAATATTTCCATAGCTGTCCATTCCCTATTCGCTTACACTGTCCCAAAACAAACAACCGGTTGTTTTTAAACATTCCACAGTTCATTTGATCAGAACAAGGATCCGGACTAAACTCCAAATCAAGCAATTGCATCGTGCCTATTGACATTCTCCCTGCAGTTTCAGCTGAACAAATCTCTTTGTTTCTCCCCTAAAGCATTGCTGTGAACGTCTACAATATTTACACAAAGATTAGAATCCCTTGGTACTCCAGAGTTGCTGTGCACAGGCTAAATAATCAACACATACAGCAGATTCTTGTTACTTCTTGTTTATTCTTCAGAAGGAAGCAGAAACTTGAGAGACCCTCAAAGCTTCAACCAGGCTTGAACTATTTTCATTTCTTGCTAGAGAGTTTGGAAGAGACTCTGCCGGGCCAGGCTGCTGGGGTTCTCCCCGGCTGCTTTGGTTCCTTTGGAACAATAAAGGCCAAACAGAAGAGAAATTATATGCCTCTTGCTGGCCTGAGATCAGCGGTTGTGGCACCCTCTTAGAATTTAGCCAAACATACCGAAAGGATACTAAGGTATATTAACCATACCCATGAGGCATGTGCTGAAAATGTCTTTAAACATTCCTACTTTTGAGCATTGCAATACTGCCGTGTTTTCACAGGTGTGTTCCAATGACGAACCAGCCTGTGCATAGCCTGGAAACTTCAGCATAACAAAATGCTGCGTAAATAAAATGTGGTATGAGAGATGGGATTCTGAGTCAGCTCAAGAGCACTAGATCCCTAACAGCTTAGGGATCAGTCAGTTAGTTTCTGAATGTCATTTTCTAACAGCAGGAGCATCAGTGCTGTTTGGCAGAGCAATACCAAAATAAGAGGAAAAGGTGAAGCATGCTTTCTCTGCCAAACATAGCAAATCAAAAAATATTTCTGCATATCTCTGAATTGCCTCCATTGTTTCACAGAACCTAAATGTTACTATATTTTAATGGAGTCAGTGTTGGAACAAAACTTTAGAGAGGACAAGAGAAGTTACACTTTGAGATGTTTCGGTTTAAATTTTTGTACTCTCTCCGTTTCTCTGCTCTATGCTGTCCTTCTCCATCGCCTGTAGCTCTCTTCTTCAGATGAGACCTTTTATGCAAACCAGTATTCTCCCCTTGGGCAAGAAGATGGTTCCCTGGTGTCTGGTACAGATGAGCAGCTATCTGGGAAAACCTGTTGCAGGCCTTGTTCGTTTCTCAGCTCTTTAATCTTCAGCTTCCTTCCCATGCTCAAACTCCCTGGACTGGAGTAAAGGCAGCAAAATGCTTTCGTGTTTTTATGGTGCCTTCTCTGTGTTAGTGTTCTAGGATCTGGCTTAGACTAACTTTCCTTCCTGTCACAAAGCTACCAAGTTGTCTGGTTTCAAGTGTTTCTGCAGAGTCCTGCACCAGTGCAGTTCCAGTGACTGACAAATGTCTCCTGGTCTCCCAGGCTCCCTGTCTTGCAGGAGCAGGTCTGAGGCCTTGGTGCCAGTTCCGCCACAGGCAGTGCAGTTCATTTTCCGAGTATAAGCATGCCTTATCAAAACAGGGGAGAAGAAATCAAGTTTTGTACCTATTGCTTTCTTGTTCTGCAAGGCTTTTTGCTTCTCTTTAACCTAACAGAAAGTTTTTGTCCCCTTTTGGTTTTCCAAAAAAAAAAAAAAGAAAAAAAAAAAGGAAAAGAGTCTTCTAAGGTATGGATATATTCTTCTTGAATGATTTCATCACTTTTTTTTCACCCTAAGGTCCAATTCAGGCTCCTTAACCACTCTCAGTGATTTTTTTTTTATTTTTCCCTGTCTGTGTTTTTTACAGAAGGATTCAGAGGGTTAGAATGACCTCATATGCTTTTCTTCAGCTTCTTTCCGTCCTCCCATTTTCATTAGCTCACAATAGGTCATTACCTATAGGGCCTCCTGTCAGTCATCAGCATGGATATGACTGATACCTGAACAGTCACTCCGACTACTTTCTTGTGGCACAGCCAAGACCCCCTGCTGGTACCAGCCAGTGTCCCAAGTGTCGCTGGAGACTGTTGAAACTTCTCCTTTGAAATTGCCGAGAGGAAACCATTCCACTGCATCTCCTCAGTAAAATGTGAGCATTTGTGTCCTTGAGGTTATTGATCTTTGGGAACATAGCCTTAAATTCCTGTTAATTGATACTTCTTTTGCAATTACTCCCATAGGCACTAGCAGTCATTCAAGCTATAGGTCTCACAGGCAAGAGCCCCAGAAATCTCAGCGTTCTGTAGAAATACCTATGGGTTCCATACAAATACCTAGCTGTTCAAGCTAAGCAGTTTTGCATCCTGGCAGTTTTTCTTCCCTTTGAGAGACTACAGATGCTTCATGGAGCACAGTAAAATTCCCAAAATTAGCATAAGTCTTGTCTGCATCTTGTTGTGTATCTATTAAAAATCACTTGGTATCTAAGTACCAGGGTCGAAGAGGTAAAGAATCTCTGGTTCTTTTTGTAATGTTAGGGAAATCATGGTGCCTGTGCAGAGACTTGGCCAGACCACGAGGTTTGGAGGAGGACTGGTACAAAAGAACATGAAAGGAACAAATCTTAGGAACGTGCCTATGGCAGAGGAGAGAGGTGCTTATAATAGAAATGATTAGTCAGAAAGAGGAAGTTTGGGAAGAGAGATTGCTCCTGTGTACTAGTCAAAACAAACATGCTCTTTGTGATATCAGCACGTGCATACTTTTTATCCTCTCAAATTCTCAGTTTTCTACCCTCCTTGTAACGCACAGGACCCCCTTCTGCCGATTCTCTGTAGCAAACTGCTGGTGCCACTAGATCAGCCAGAGCCATAAGGTGACAGGGAATCTTTCAGTAGCTGGCACCCAGCCCTAGGGATTACCTGAAGACTCCTGCTTTTTTCCATCAAATATGCAGAGGCAGTCTCAGTCCCTGTAATATCTGGTGAGCAACATGAATAATCACTAGAGTAAGGGAAAACTCATGTAACCTGAACCTCTTCTCTTTGCTCCCATGCAAGAGATGTTTACTATATTGCGTATTTCCCTTGTTTCAAATACTGGATGTTCTCTCTTGGTTGCTGGAGTCTGCACTGAACATGTGCAAATTACTTTTGCCTAATTATTTCATCATTTTCACCATAGTGAGAAGTGGGGTAGTAAAGGAGAAAGGAGCCTAGATACAGGCCTTCTGCACAGGGCTAAGGGACACAGGATAATATAAAAACTGCAGACGAGATGATTATTAATTATTTTCAGCCATATTTATCACCAAAGAGTAACCATTTCTGACTTTACAATGCTCAGCATCTGTAACCCAATTTCCATTTCTGAAATAATTTTTTACTCCTGTCTATTTAGACATGTCCCTGCAACCAGATGGACCTTGTGGATGGTATCCTATGAAAGGTCTGATTAAATTCCAGATTTTCACTGTTGAAACAGACTTTTTAAAAATTCTGACTGTTATTTAATTAGAGGTTTTCTCATAGACCTAGCATTTTCAATTTAACGTTCAATTAATGGTTTGAGCGCTCCCTTAGAAATTGTATTGTTCATGTTCCAGCTGTAGTGCCAGCAAAAGCAGATTGATTTTAACAGTTTTTAGCATCTGGAAACCACAAACAAAATACTCCATGCTATTTTACTCTAAATTGTACCAAAATCCTAAAACCCTCAAGAGAGGACATGAATCCTCAGTGTTCATGTTTGTTTTTTTTTTAACTAGTTTTCCTACAGATTTCTGTTTTTCCTCTACAGGAAACAGAACTGTTAAAAGAGCAGCAATTGTTGTATTGTGAACGGCAAGGAAATCCGCACAGCTTTTGAGAATGTATGCCTATATATGAAGCCAAAACCCAAGCCAAAGTAATTTCAGAATATGCTGCATTTCTACAAAAATTGTTTTAAACCTCAACGTTTGTTCTTAAAATAGCAGTAGCAACAACCATGAAAAGACTCTTCGCTGAACATATTCCATATAATCACTGAAGGATCTAGCCCTATAGTTCATGTTTCTGAGGTTGGGCCTTCCTGCCCCCTCTGAGCTCTGTGTTTATTTGGGCTCTGAACCAGTCTTAACTACAAGAGGCCTCACACTGGCGCGGAGGTCTGCACTGATGGGCTTCACTGCACTGTTAAGGTCTTCAAGTTTTCCTGCTGTTGAGTCAATTTATGCAGTTTCTGTGAGTACATTAGGCTGGACCGAAAGTTGCGTCTATTCTAGTAAGAAACATAGGGCTAGGGCTCAGGCATGACAGCCTCCTGCAGTCATCTGTGCTGCCTTCTTGCTAGCGCGCTTCTCCAGCATGGCATTGGTCTGTGCCAGCTAGCAGGCTCCCAGACAGGGCTTGGGCAGGGGGTAAAGGGACAGCGTAGCTACTGCTCCCATTCGGCATTTTGGACACAGTCATCCTTAGGAGAAAAAAAGCTTAGCTTGGATGGACATAAGAAGCACCCTTGGCCTCTTTTATTTAGTAGCATAGGTATTTTTGTATTCCAGACATTTTAAAGCATCGATGTGCATTTGCAGTAAGCAATATATTTCATGCATTCTACAATTCAGATTTTTGGAAGAGGGTCTGAGGAGTTTAGTAAGTTAAGTGTTTTTCTGCTTTGTCATTTACTTTCCCTAGCAGTAGCTTTTTAAACAAGCATAAACTCTGCCCATGTGTTTTAAGCTGCCTGTGAAGTGGAATGCATTTAGTTTCCTTTGTGAATACAAAAGCATTGCATACTGAAATGAGGTTGTGTCAACCACAAGTCAGTATGTAAAAGTATTAGGTACTTATTGTAGTGCTTACAACTTCACTCTCTGCCAGGCCAATCATACTGTCTCATCTTTTTGTGTATGTGTTTGTGTGTGTGTTTTACAGTGGTAGATAGAGGAAAAAAACATCTCTGGTTATTTATGTAACGTAGTGCACACATTTTTATTACTCAATGTTTTTAATTGGCTAACAGTTGTCATCAGTGATGTCACAGTTTCAGGAATATTTATAATGTCTACTTTGATATGTTTTTCCCTCTTAACCAAAGGGGACGTTCTGTAGAAGAATACAAACGGAAACCAAAAATAAATTACTGTTCTTTTTCTACGGTTCTGGACGACCACGTACAGAATATGTAAATACCTCTTTTGATTGGCTGCAGTAGTCCATCTGCTCTGACACTATCTCATGAGACTATCCAAGATGTTTGCCAGCATCAGAGTACCTTTCTTTGCTCTAAATCTTTACCAGAAGTAGAAAGAGGCTGCATTTTCATGAGGAAAAGAATCTATACAACGCAAACTAAATAGGCTTCAAGCTGCTAAAAGACTACTGTGTGCCTGGGGAAAGAATTAAACAGTCTTCTTGTGTGCGCTGCTTTCACCCTAGCCTTTTCAGAACCTTATTTTCCTTATCCTAACTGCCTCTTGTGCTTGCCAAGAATAAGGATAATTAAATGTTCTTTAAGTGGTGTTTAAGACTGAATGATAAGAACACCTCTCCTCCTAATCCAGTTCCATGTAGTAAATAAGAAAGGAGAACAGTGGTCTCATGCATGCTGCTTCAGCACTCCTAAGAGTAGCTTTAAGGCAGAGAATCAAAATAACCATTTTTCCCCTGCAGTGATATAGTCAGCATCCTTACAAGCATCTCCAGCAGCACGGCTGCCTGTCGTGTCTGCTATTTCTATAGTAATGTAACTGAATTGAAAAGCAAGAGCCTTTTCCAGACACCAGTTTTAAAGCTATGCTCTAATTTTTTTATTTTAAAAGGCAGCTGCCAATAAGAATGTAAATTTAAAAGAAGCTTAGAGTCCTTTCCACAGACCCAGTGATGGCTATATTTTGAACTAACACACTGTTTTTCCATTGTCCTCAGTGTTTGTGCCAATATATGGTTATTACTTCATATACAAAAGGACAGTTATTTTGATTTCCTGATGGGGACAGTAAGTGTTTGGTGGTGCTGAGGATGAGACAACCATCAGTACTAGTTGTTTCTTTTTCCCGTTCTTTGAAATTTTCCCATTACAATTGATAGAAAGTAGTTGTATGAAGGAATGTTATAAAGGCTTTCTTTGCAGAGTTGGATCAGGTCTCTGTATAAATGCTCTTTTAGTATATGTTTTACCTGTGGTACAACAATACATCTTTCAGTGTGTTAGTCTCCTTTTACTAAAACTGCGAGACTTGGAGAGCTATCAGTGTCTTTGAAATTTTTTTTTTTTTTTAAGTGGAATGCTTTTAAAAAACAGATTTACTCATTCCTATTTGTCTTCCGATTTTCCTTCCCATTCTTTATTGCATGAGGCATTAGCGTGGAAACACACACCACGTTTTTCAGGCTTTTGTCTGTTCCTGCTGCTTTGCCTACTGGAAATCAGAGAGTGCTACTTGATTTCTGACATAACTGATTACTATGGAAATTATTACCATGTCATAAGCAGAGGATTTCATGTGTAGAATGTGCGGTGGGAACACAGATGAGTCTGTCAGCAGAAGGTTCCTGGTAATAAGGAAAAAAGAGAAGAGAAATGCAGAAAACATACAATGCCTGGGCAAAATCTGTTGTTACTGATTCTTTTTAAGAAGGCATAACCTTCAAGATAAAGGGGGATCAAGCAATTTGCAGGGTTTTTGTTTTTGAGTGAATAAGAAGATAAATGTGAATTTGTGATTCAAGGAATAATTATTTTATTTTGACTCCAGCAGTTGGCAGTGGCCAAAGCGATTTCCGTGGACATTCGATGTATGTCCCTGATCACTGTTCCACGCTAGGGAGACTAGACAGCTATCGCTCTGCTATGCAGCGGTCTGAAACCAAGGACACCAGCTGCCAGACCGAGGACGTGAAAGTTGTGCCCCCTTCAATGAGAAGAATACGAGCGCAGAAAGGACAAGGTATTGCCGCCCAGATGTCTCAGTTCTCCAGCTCGTCTGGAAACATGTCGGTGATGAGTGATTCTGCTGCAGTTATATTTGCTTCTCGCCAAAATAGCGACGTAGGTTTTCACAGCTTGCCTCGGGCTGGTGTGAGAGTGTCTCTGCAGTCCCTAGAACAGACACAGAGCATCTCTAGGCAGACAGAAGACGTCGCCAGCGCTTTGCCGCACCAGATAAGTAAATTGCAAGTGGATGATAGTATCGTGCATCTGAGGAACAATCCCACTACAGGAACCCTCTCAAGGCCAAAGTCTCAGGAGGTGAGAAGTTACGAGAGTGAAAAGTCCACAAGCCCAGCGTGTGTGGTCTCTCCTCATGCCACCTACTCAACAAGCATCATACCCAATGCAACACTGTCATCCTCCTCAGAAGTTATTGTTATTCACACTGCCCAGAGTGTTGGATCATTGGATAGTAAAATTACCAGCTCTGCTGCCTATCCAAGGCCAAGAGACAATCCTGTTGCCAGCAATGCAATAAGTGGGAAAGAAGATCACCATTCTTCAAGTGGTAACTGGAGCGAGAGCAGCTCCACGCGCCACTCACAGACTTCAGATACCATGCCATCTAATACTGTCATGATGCTTTCTCTTGCTGACTCTGCAGTCTCCCTCAGCACTCCTGGAAATGTGGAGGCTGGCTCTCAGAGTGTGAGCTACAGCTGTAGGAACAATCTTGACTTACCGAGCCAGTCCCAGGACAGTGATGGTAGGAGTGAATCTAGCTATTCAGGGGAGCGAACGCAAGCAACGGTGAACAGCACAGAGCATTGGCTGTACAGATCTGTGGAAAATAGTGAGACTCCTTCACACAAGATGGCTTGTGCCACACCAGGCTGTGCCACTCCTGTGAGCAATTTGAGCAGCAGCAGCCTGGAAAGGACATCAGTCAAAGAAGATTCTACTTCTCTCTATTCGGTGGACCATGATGGTTATTACACTTCCATGCATATAGACTCTGGACTGAAGTCAGACAAGCCATGCAATAGTAGTAATGGTTTTGGGAACCCCAGGGACAGTGTGATTAACGTCTTTGATGGAAAAGAGAAAAAACATCAGGAAGACCAGTCAAGCCAAGCTGACAAATTTCTTGCAAGAAATATCTCTCTAAAAAAGGCAAAGAAGCCACCTTTGCCACCATCCAGAACAGACTCGCTTAGAAGGGTACCCAAGAAAAAAGCCCAGTCCAACGGACAGGTACTTGATGAAACCCTCATTGCTACCCTCCAGCATTCTCTGCAGTTGAATCTCAAGTGCAAAAATGGCAGCTCCCCTTCCCAGAGCCCCTGCAGTGATTATGAGGATCCCTGGGTGTTGCGCTCCCGCAGCCAAAGCTCCGTCAGTGCGAGCAGCAGCATGATGTCCACCACTGCTCCAAACCTGTACTCCATCTGCACGGTCACACCCTCTCAGAGTGAAACAAGCAGCATCAAGTCCGAGTACGCTGACCAGTGGGGCTACTACAGCGACTATGCTGCCGTGGCAGACGACCACGTAAAATCCCCAGTGACTCATTCAGCCAGTACATCGTCTGCTCTCAGCGATTACAGCATCAGCCACTTTAGTGATGGCTCAAGGGCTTCTGTGCCACAAGTGCCCAGCGGACTGGCCAAACCAAAGAATGTTTCTCCGGAGAAATCTCACCGAGTTACATCGCCATCGAGTGGGTACTCCAGCCAGTCCAATACGCCCACTGCGCTTACTCCAGTGCCTGTATTATTGAAGTCTGCATCATCAGGAAATGGGAAACCCAAGCTGAAACCTAAAGTGCCTGAAAGGAAATCCTCTCTTCTGTCTTCAGTCTCCATTTCTTCATCTTCCACTTCTCTTTCTTCAAATACGTCTACTGAAGGGAGCGTGAGTGTGAAGAAACTGGACCCCACCCTGAGCTCTGCTCTGGATTCTGGTGCACCTCCTCCACCACCTCCCCTTCCAACATCTCTTCCTCATTGTCCTGATCTCTCTCTTCTCCCTCCCCCCCCTCCAGCAGAAGTCGTGGATCTGTCACCGTTGCCAGCCTCTCCCACATTCCCCCCTCCTCCACCAGAAGCTGATGTAAATTCTTCCTATGCCCAGAGTGTCCCATGGTTTCCACAAGAAACCTCTACTAGTTCGTTCTCTTCCCCTGTTCCTCCTCCTACTGCTTTTCCCTCAGCTGTCCCACCACCAGCACCACCTCTTGATCTCAAACTGACAAAAGATGTAACAAAATACTCACAGTATTCTTTTAAGAAACGTAACCAGGAAGATTCTTGCTATAGTCCAGTGAAACAGCCATTCAATAAGCAAGATGCATTGAGGCCTGTGATGCCCTTAGTAACTACCAAAGCATTGCAAATGGTGCAGCTGAGATCTGTGAAAAAAGCGACAGAAGGTGAACTGCCACCTGAATCTGCTTCTGAAACCATCTCTCAGGAAAAGGGTACTGTAAGTTCACCACCACAGTCTTCCCTAAAGCCATCTTTCTCACTAAGACTGAGTAACAGCTTAGGTGAAGAGGAGACGAAAACTCATGGCGCTTCGTTTAAAAACTCAGTTCAAACACTAGCTCAGAGTTCTCTTCTGACTCTCTCTGACAATGTACCTGAGCTTGACAGTGATCAAAAAGCTGCAAGTGCTGTAGGTCTAAACAAGTCTGTCAATGCTGATTTACTGGGAACAGCTACTGAAGATGCACTGGAGTCTTCAGTGCAGAATGAAGACTTCCATTCTGGCTCTATCAGCACGTCAGTTCAGGGGTCACCAGCGTCTCCAGACAAGACTCAGGTCATATTGCCAAACAAGAAACCCCCTCCTGTTTCTAAGAAACCCAAATTGTTCCTTGTTGTACCACCTCCAGAGTTAGATCTTACAGTAGAGAAAATAGCTGAAATGAGTGATACTGTCAGAAGCACATCAAGCCCAACGAAGAGAGACACTGTGCTTGCACACTGCGAGGAGGCGAGAAACTGTCTTACAGATGGACTCAGTTCTAGCGAGATGGACTCTGGCAGCCTGGTTCCTGAGGGCGGAGCTGCTCGATTCACCTTCTCTGAAACTGAGGGAGCTAATGCCTTTATAGTACAGCCTGCTGCATCACCAGTTCAAGAAGCTCCCAGACAGGAGGAACAGCCCACTTTCGATGAAGGAAGCTGTTCAGGCAACAGCCAAGACAGCAGCAGTAACGCTGACGGGCACCTATCTCAGGAGAACGAAAGTGGTGAGTCCGTCTTCTCTTGACTCTTCTTCAGGTATAGCAATAGCTATTTTAAAGAAGGTGGGGAGTGAGGGTAGCAGTTGTAGCATTCAGATCTTCTGTAGAGAAAAAAAGGGTTGTGATAATTTAAACTATAAAGCCTAAGGAAAGTTGCAGGATCAGATTAATACTTTATATGGCTTCTTTTAATTTCTTTCTGACTTCTTGTTACTGCAGAAATAACAAAATGATGCTAGGAAATAAAAGTAATGCCTTATTCAACTTTGCTTGGATTAAAAAGTGCTGTCAAGATGTGGTTAGCTTTGTAAATTTTAAATTTGCCTTTTAATAGAAACCTTAAAAAATCCTTCAGTATTGTACTCTGCACATGTATGAACAAGCGTAGGCGTTTCATGCACGGCAGTTTCCTAAGCAAGTGTTGATCTGAAATCACGATAATGACAAGGGTATACTCGTTAAATCTCTTGGATTTTTTACGCTGCAAGCAATGAGGGCTGGTTTCAGGATTATATATCTTTTGAGTTCCTGTGATGGATTGTGTTATTCATTCTTTTTGCCTAGCCGAGGTGTTTGAATTGGATACAGCAAATAGTTCGTTCCTGCCAAGCCATAGTTATGGGGAAGAGACAGACGGGGTGGCAACACCAGCAAGACCAAGGACTACTGAGGATCTTTTTGCAGCCATTCACAGGTACTGTGGAAATTGCCTTCCCCATACTGTCCAGTCAGTTAATTCTTTCAAAATTTAATTAACGTCGTTTTCCTAAAGCACCCAGTAAAAATGGTTGTTGCTTTAACTGAAACACCCACTTACTGACTTTGTAACTAAGGCTATATATGAAAAAGATAAGCAGAAGAACTTGCATTTTACTGTTTTACAAATATGCTTCTCCTATTCTGAACTAAAAGGTACATGGTTAAATCAGTGTAGATTATATTATAAATATCCTGCCACTTAAAATATGAAATTACATCTAGTGTTTATTGTACTGTTCTCAATCTGCCATATTAACTCTACTGTTGCTTTCTCTGTGTATCTTTTTGTTTTCATTCCCGTTCTTCCCCATCTCTTTTTATTCTCTTCGCTGCTTATATGGTGCAGTTTGGGACAGAGGCTCAACGCTAATGCTTCATGGCAAGCGTGGCTGAAACTGGCAAGTAACACAACATGTCAGTCATATGGCAAAACATATGGCAAACGCTGGATTATAGTTTGCCATAATCCAGCCTGAGGTCGGGTGTCTTGTGTCAAACTGGTTCATGAATGAAATGTGTAATACTGGCTCTATTATTAATGTCATTATTCATTTCCCTTAAAAACAAAATCATTCCAAATAGGCAACTAGATTTTCGTGCTGTTCACTTCAGGTTTTCCCCAGAAAAGCTTAAAAACCACACAATGAAACATGTGCACCATTTAAACAGTACATATAGAAGACTATTACCACTCTCTGAGCTTGCATTTAGACTAGTAGTGATGTAGTCGTGGTGCCATCTTGTGGCTCTGTCATTTACTTCAAAATTTACATAGGCCTTCTCTTAACCGGTCATTGAAAACGTCTGGTGGCATCCTCATTTGTTTACCTAGGTATTTAGTCCGTTTGTGCATATGTGCCTGACTTTTACATCAGGGATACTGAGGGACAGGAGCAGTCTTGTGTGTGAACATGGCAGGGAGTTGGGAGGTTGCATTTACGATGCAAATGCTATTTTTCTGAAATAATTCTATTTCAGATGTTACAAAAATTACACAAATACATATTGTGTAATATATATATATTACACTGACTAAATAACACTGACTTTTTGTAACTTAGTGTTATCCCTTAGGACTTGGCCTGTAAGAGCTGTTCTAAAAATGGTCTCTTTCATTCTTTATGTGCATGGTGCTCAGTAGGACTGCGATGATTCTGTTTTCAGAATGAAATATTCTGGCCAGTAAGCATTTTCCATTATGTATGCAGATAGCGAGTGGATCTCTGTGTGTGTGCACATACATGGAATTCATAAGTTTACGGGGAAATGGACAAGGGAGCTAGATGTGACAGTTAAAATTGTTTGACACAGTTGTTATTAAGACCTTGCTTTTGTTGGCTTTAGACTTGAACCACCATCTTCCTTGGTTGTTAATTAATTTAAAAAATGGCTTTGTTTGTTGCCTCTATTTTAAAAAGGCAATATTTCAACGTTTGGCACTCTTGTATCTGTGCTTTTGAGTCAGACAAGAAGTGTAGTGGTATGTCTGTTAAGGGCAGGAGAAGAATGAAAAGGTCAATCTAAGGTTAGGTCACTGATCTGTTTGAGTATGTATCTTTTCTCTTCTCGGCAAAGCCACCAAAGCTAGATTTGGCTTAATTTTAAGTCTCTGCTATGACTTACACATGCTGAGAAGAGTTGGATAGATGCTGGCAGCAAAATGCTCCAGAATATTTTAGTTCTCTGACTGACTGTTCTGCGCTATGTTCACAGCGTTACTGAGTTACTTCAAACCAGGATTACTGAATCTTCCTCTGTACATCTTTGAAATTGTAGTTTGCATTATGTTTCTTTGGAGTTTCATTTTTTGGCAGTAGTACAATCCCAGCACTGGAGCGTTCAAAGATGCCCAAAGGCAGCCAAAATCCTACTGAAGGGAAGCCTCCCTAATGCACACACATGCTTTCACACAGACACACAGAGCATCTAAGCATCAGGTTCACTTGCTGTCTACAGTAGTGACACACAGTTAAATTGAGCAGAGGTTCTTATGTTTGCCAATACTGAAGTCATTGTTTTATCCTTACGCTATCTTGTGTTGTCCCTTCATCCTCCTTTTGAATGGACGTCAGTATTGCATTCTTCTTTCAGCAAAGAAGGTGGAGACAGCAGCGGCTGAAAATAACAGCTGTTACAGTTGCCTGTGGGGGGTATCAAAGTTGTATATGCATGAAATTACCAGATAAGGAGAGACAAGACCACTCCTGAGTCTTGGCAGAGTTTATGGCAATGCCTGTTGCTGCCACCCACTTAGCTGATTGATCCTGTTACTTTGTTTTATTCTATTTTTTTCTATTGCTAGGCTGCAATGCATAAAGACATATGAGTTTACCATTTCAAAATCTCAAATGCTGTAAGAAAGTATAGCTAAAGATCACACTGGGAAGTAATCTGTTTTACAAAGGGAATGCTCTGTGTTGTACGTATGCTTGATAAAAATGAATATGGAAGTGTAGTATGTAAATCTTGTATTTGTAACAAGTCTGCTGGCTTGTTTTAAACTTTTCACAAATTTGTGTATGAAAAATTAGCATTTATACAATATTTTTGAATTCATTCTTCTTCAGCCTGCAAAGAAATAAAGCAACTTTGCTACAGATACCAGCCATGTAATACACCCCTTTCTTTAAGATTTCTTATGATGTAAAAATGGGGCAACAAAGGTCCAGTTTCCACGTATTCCCAGTCCCATCATTTTTCCTTAATTTCATTTTTGTTATCACTGCACTTTATGTTTAAATTAAAAACCACTCTGTTTAAATTAAAAACCACTCAGCTCTTTTGTTTGGAAAGATAATTTTAATTTTGCAAGTCCGGAGGGTGGTCTGTCCTTCATTTAGTCAAAGAGCTACGATGATAGAGCGCCAACAGAGCAGTGAATTTTGACTGTGCATCTTATTAGAAGTTAGAAAACTCAATTTTCACTTCTCATTTCATGTTTGGGTTTTTATTTTCCTTTTCAACCATTTAATCTAGAAAGTTTGCATCTGGCTCACTTTAGTCAGTCTTAACTTTTGAGGTAGTGCATTGCAATATCAGTTTCTAAAGGCAAACACACTAAACTACATTTCTAATTCTCCGCAGAGCATCAAAGGCTTTGAATGAAACAGTACAAAAAGAAAACAAAACAAAAAATGCAACTTACTGGATGCCATATTTTTAATAAAATCCCCGAACTAAAAGACAAATGGCATTAATAATTGTAATGCATTAATCTTAGCCTCAGTTGGATACTGACTGACTGGATACTGACTCAAAAAACCTCATTTGCTAAATATGTTCCGACTGTTTTGGGCATCAGTATTGCCAGTTATAGTAGTTTCATTAGTCCAGATTTGCAGAAAAAGAATAATGAACTTAGCTTATACCTCCTGTACTTGCATTACTGCCTATGCAGTTTTGGTGGTGTTCTTGCTCGTACTTTAGATTGAGATTGCTTTTCCCTTCTGCTCTCTTGGCTTTAGCTTAATTTGTTGTCATCCCTCTAGGTTGAGATGAATTAGGGGAGGAAAAAATTTCATTTTTTTGTTTTGTTTTGTCCATATTTTTGTTTTTCAAACTCAGATCCAAAAGGAAAGTCCTTGGCCGTAAAGATTCTGAAGACGATCGTACCCGCAACCATTCTCCATCACCCCCCGTAACGCCTACTGGTGCTTCCCCAGCCTTAGCTACCCTCAAACAAGCAGGATCTATTCAGAGAAGCGTTCGTAAGAGCAGCACCAGCAATGACAACTTCAAAGCCTTGCTGCTGAAAAAAGGGAGCCGCTGTGACACCAGTTCCCGCATGTCAGCGGCCGAGATGTTAAAGAACACGGACCCACGGTTCCACCGGACGAAGACAGATGCTGCCCCTGACCTTTCTGACAGCCCTGCCAGCTGCTCACCCAGCAAGAGCAAACGGGCCCAGGAGGAATGGGCCAAGAGTGAGGGCCTGATGCCAAGGAGCATGTCCTTCTCTGGCACCAGGTATGGCCGATCACGAACGCCCCCCTCAGCTGCCAGTAGCAAGTACAACGTTCGCAACCGCATCCAGAGCAGCCCCATGACTGTAATTAGTGAAGGAGATGGGGAAGTGGTGGAACAGTCAGAGGGCAGGATCCGAAGGACTATGGAAGAACAGCAAGAGAGGCAGCTTGATGTGTTTAACAGTGATGAAATGGACATGAATGACTTTCCATATGCTGAGGAGCCTGGCTGCAAGGAGACCTTGGATCCAGCCCAAGTAGACTTACTGACTCAACCAGGTACTTCAAAGAAGTATCTAAGCCCTTCAGCTGAAGAAAGTTAAGAGGCAGTGACAAAAGGATTGGGTATTAGTCTAGAAAATGACAGAGGACTAGATCCCAGAAGAAAGCCCAGACCAGGACAAGTTGACTTTGCTGAGCATTTATTCCATGAACTGCATGTGTGTGTTTAAATGCTGAAGCAATGATAGTTCTGCACGGTTGGGATGGGGTGGGGAGGACTTGCTTTGAGTGAGTGGTCTGTGGCGTAAAGAAAGCAACAGTTGAAATTTTTGTGTAAAGCCTTAGAAGTCCTCTTGGGGGGAAGTTTTCTCAGAGCCTGTAGGGGTGTGATGTTTTTCTTTTTCTTGAGATTGCAATTGTGAGAGCAAAACTTAGGGATAAACCTGAAAAAGGAATGGGAAGGCTTCTGTGGCACAAGCTGGACACTTGCTTCGAAAGCATTGTATTGGTGCAGCATAGTGCATATACGTTAAGCACAGAACGGTAGGATGAGGCACACTCACCTGTGAGAAGGTAGTAGGTTTGGCGCTGGGGTTGCATGGCTTCTTCCTACGGTATGCCCCCATGTTAGATGAAGTACGTCCTGTTAATGCAAATAGGTCACCAGGTTATGAATTGGTTGAGGGTACTATTTTTTTTTTTCCTGAGGGAAAATGAAATACTTAGTTAACATGGAAAAGGGAGCACAGATTTATAACATAATATTAGCTGCTATGCAGCCACACATGCACACTTGGTGAAACATTCATTTTCAAGTGAATTGCTTCCTTGAATAGTGTATTCCCTTAGAGAACTGGAACAGCTGGATACGTGCCGAGGATGTAAGCAAACAACCGAAAATTGGGAGAGGAATTAAGCAATATACTGCCAGAGTTCGGAAGGGTTAGGTTTCTGAGTTGAAAAACAAAATTTGACTTTGAGAACTTGCACTACAGAGCTATAGGTGGAGCCTTTCTTTCAAAATAGAAACTTGGGAGTTATGTTTTACCAGAAGTCTTTCTTCCACTTCTCAAAATGGAAAGATTATTGTTTTTCATCACTTGAAATATCAGATACTTAATAACTTTTGGTTACCAAAGAATAAGTTACAGTTACTTCCCTTTTTGATTTGCCTGCAGTATTTCTTTTCTTTTTTTAACCGTAATAATTTAGTGAGGTTTGGTTTTTTTTTTTGTATATTTTACAGATAATAAAAACATTTAATGGTTTTCCAATTGTAAAGAAAGCCATTAATTAAAACTGAAACATTGGCTGGAGTTTTTGGTTCTTAGTAGGAATTAAGCTTTTAATTTTTAAGAAGAATTTTGCATCATTGGATGGCGTGCGCAGTTTTTGTATTGTTTGTAAATACTGGAAGTTGTTAAAATATCTTTTGATCTCCTTACCGTAGGATTTATACATTTTTAGATTGCTTTTAAGAAAAAGCACTCCTTGTAGATTATTTATTTTAGCGAAATATGCTTGTAATCGCTTTCTTCAGTCCTTCACTTGTCAGTAATGTAAATTTCAGGGGCCTTCGTTTAACTCTTCCTTTCACAAGACGGGAACAGTGATGAAAATGTGTGACTTTGCTTCAATAAAGAAAAAGGCTGCCAGTTGCCATATTGTCTTTTGAGTTGATTAAAATCTCATTCAAAAGATGTGTCCAGCAGTGTATGGCAACAGACTGAATGCTGTAAACCATACATCCAGCTACTAATCTTCCCTTTCTGCTGCAAAATTTATCAATTCAATGTAGAGGCAACTAAAGAGTACTTACATATCCAGCCCGTTTTGACATGTCAATAATGCTGAGAGTAAAAGACTTGAAATAATCCGAAGCTTTTTTCCAGTATCATTTGTGTGTGTTTCTGCTACTTCTCTCTTACTGGCACCCTGTCCCACAGAACTAAAATTCCTGGAGAAGCAGATTATAGGCAAAGTGAATGAGGAGTAAGTGAAAGGTGAATCCAGCTGCACTCACAGGAACAGGAATGGGATGAAGTGGTGCACAGCAAACTTCCTGCCATTTTACACACAAAACATATTTAAAGAAGCATTTAATTATTGGAATTAAATCAAAACCTAATTGGAGCATTTCAAATATTATTAATACTGATCTGAACTACATACTGTTGCAAAAAGAACGCTAAACGTTCTGCAGCTGCTAAATGCCTAACAAGAGTTGGTGCTAATGTTTCTCCCAGGTTTGACCGCATTAAACTTAGAGCTGTATGTCATTTTAACAGTAGATGCTTTCCTTTTCAAAGCTGTGTGTAAACTTAAACTAATAGCACCATCCTCACAAGCAAGTACTCAGGCTTTATTTTATTGTTTACAAATGGGGAAATAGTGTAAGTCACTGAAAAACTGCAGTACTGGAGGAAGTTACAGTTCTGTTGTCTGCAACTTCTGTATTATTTTGCAGCATTTTGCATACTGTGCCTCTAGGAAGGAGCCCAGCCAATTTAATTGCCTGATGCTGGCCATATGATGCTGCCAGAAGTTTTTATAGGGTTTGTGGTGAACTCTTCAGACACTCTTGGGTTGTATACCCACCATCTTGTCCATATACGTAGGTGAGACCAGACTTCAGGGCAACATGGGCTGAGTTTCTTCTCTGACTGCAGGTAGCCTTGATGCTCATCTAAAGCCCACATCTGGTGCAAGGTGAGTTTGGGCTGAGGCTTAGCCTTTGGCTAGTGTTTATGTAACCTTACTGATGTTGTTACAGGACTACATTTTACACAGTATGAGATGTAGTAAAATATGCAAAATGTGTTGGAATATGTTTTAATCGTGCTTATAATTATATTTATTTAGACAGCTGATATGATTTTCATATGGTGTTATCACCATTAATCTCCCCTCTGCCATATTCCTGTGTAGCTGCCTTCAGAATTGTATAGTGGCTATTTTTTCAGCCTTCAGAGCACAGCAGCTTTAGGGTGTGTTTTCTGAACTGGCAACAACTTTGGTGCAATGTAATTGTGCTGAGGAAAACATGCTTAATTTTATGTCACGTGTTCAGCTTCAAAGTTACTTTCCTCCATTATGAATTTCCTCCTTAGGACAGTTTTGCAGTCCTGGCTTTATTGGTCAACAAGCGTAGATTAAGTTTAGCAAATCTCTGCCAAGGACATCTAGAGCACTAGGAGGGGAGGAAAAATATGCAAACTTTGGTTATGCTAAGGCAGAAAAGTAGACTGCTGTTATCCCGATGCTTAATTCATAAGCATGCTGTTATAGGGCTTGTTCATAGTTTGCAGTTGGTTTACAGCTTGCCTCTAAGACAAAAATTGTTGTTGAAGCTAATTAGATGTAAGCTTAACTTCTGGTTTTCCGTTTATGAATGTTATTGAACCTCAGCCTTTTCTCTAAACCTTGCTCTGTATTAACTCATTTTATGCTTCCTTCACTATATTCAAAGTTCTTTCCTACTGCTTTCGGATGTATGTAGCCCTAATCCTCTTTGGAACTAGAGCTCTTAAATTATTAGAAGTTAATTCATCCATAAGGTTGGGTGGCAGTTACAAATCTTCAATGTTAGTATAGTGGAGAGAGGGAGATTTAATGCTAATTTAAACAGAGGACAGTTACGCAAGGAGCAATAACTTGGTGAGAGGAGTTTGGGAAGGTTACGAGAAATAAGTTAAAAGAGAATTCAGGAACAAGTGGATTTGATGAAGATGGGGTTTTGCGGACCCAGGACTGGCAGCTGGTTCATGCATATGGCTCAGCATGAAAGAAGGCACAGAATAATGGCGGAAAAGGTGAAGCAGGCAGATTACTGAGAAGAAGAGAAGAACAGCAAATGCAAAGAACGACAGTAAGATATTAGGAGGGTGGGTTTATGCAGAATCTTGAAGATAAAGAAAAGAAGCTTCAGCACATACAGGAAGAGATTAAAAGGCAAAGGAACAATTAGGTAGTTGCAGCAAAAGGGGAGACAAATTTTAGCCTTTTATGTTTCTTTACAGTCTGAAGGGGAATGCATTCAGAAGGCCAAAGACAGCCAGGCATTTTACAAGAGGAAAAAAACGCCAAAATAAGTGAGCTTGGAAGAGAAGAAATGATAGTCTGGAGCGAGAGTCTGGAAGTGCTGGGGCGTGACAGGACAGTGGGGCTATCCTGCCTGTGAGCCTGAAATTAAGATGCTGGGATTAAAGTGAAAATCGGGAAAGAAGTGTTAGAGATCTGTTCTAGGAGACATCAAGCAATGCTGGAGAGGCAACTTAGAGGCTCAAGCAGAACAGCACTTGGAATGGTTCTGTACATAAAATGGTTCTGAAATTTGGCAAGAATATGGGATCAGAGAGAAGAAAGCTCAGATTCATCCTGCCTAATTTCTACCTACATTCATGTGTCCAGTGATTCCTACTGACTGGCTGCAGTCCTCCAGAGATGCCTGTGTTCCGGTAACTCTCTAAACCTTTTCAGTCATTTCATGGAGTGAAGAAAGGTCAGTTGTGCACGCGGCACAGGGACAAATGCCTTCATGGTATTGCAGGCAAATATCTTGTCAGGTATTCTTTGGATCCTATAAAGTTCTGGAAAAGTTGCTGATAGCAGTCACTCCTCCAACAAAGCTGGTGCTACAGTGCATTTATTTAAGTGGTTCAAAATGATATATGGTCTGCTTCTATAAGAGAAGATAAAAAGGATGAACTTCAACAACAATAAAAAAGGTATATAAAGAAATTATAGTGCCATGAGGAATTTCTGCCTATTTCATTATTCTAAAAACTTTCAGTACTCACAGAAAAGAACATGAAAGTGTACATTATATTATTTTTTTGCATTCCCCTATTATACTTTATTTTCTGAGTAACAGAACAGTCTTCTCTCATAGTTAAGCTTAGAAAAACCTTCTGAGACAAAATTGATAGTTTTCTTGGTTCAAGAGAGGCGTTACCAGACTAAATCAGACTGGAGCATTACAAACTTATAGGTATATGGTACTGGATCATGACTGTGGCCATACTGGTCTGAATTAATAATGCACTGAATGAATTAAGAGAAGAGAGATGTTTAATAAAGGAATGCCATGTCATATACTGTTTTGAAAGACTGGATAAAACCTTAATAGTGCTTCCCCAGTAGAACGAGTACATTTTATCTTGCAAATTTAGGTTTTTGCAGTTAGGTTATGTCACATAATCAGCAAACGACCTTTTAAGGGCCAATCAGTTCTCCCAACAATGCTAGCACAAAATGTCATTGATTTTTAGTATAAGATTGTTTGTTAATACTGAATCCAAATGTATGTTTATATGTATGTGTGCATGTATATATACAGAAGAAAGAGACCAATCCCTATGTATAAGAGTTCCTTCTGTGTCTTGTGCATTGCTCTATTTGTGCACCAGCCTTCGGAATAAAAACAGAAATTCTAACTACTTAATAAGCAAAAAAGTAAAAATCCATCAAAATATATAGGTTCCAGAAGTTTCTGTGCATTAGCTAGCTCTTCAAAAGATCGTAATTAAAAAAATGACTTTTTTAGATAGTAAAAACAAATTTAGGAAAAATCAAAAATTATTTTCTGTGGAAATATAAATTAGAAAAGCAAACAGATAAAATCTGGCAATAAACACGAAATACAGGGACCAATATGTCCTATCTGCCATCTGAAGGAGACTGCTTCTACAGTAGCAGTATTTAAGCATTGTTTACTCCCATGTTGCTCCCATGTTGGTGGAAACTAATGTCTTTTTAAAGTCAGTCCAATCTACGCTGCAAGCTCCTGAGGACAGGGATTTTTGTGTCTATTTTTCTGCAACCAGGTGTGAGAACAGTGTTAGAAACCTATCTGGTAATTTCACTTGGAAAAAGTAAACAGACTTCTAGACCACTTCAAAGACTGTGAAAGAGCACTGAAGTGACGTGAGCGTTCTGTGACACTGCAGCATCACAAGTCGAGAAACAGCTCTAATGGAGTCTGAAGGCAGTCCTATCCTCCCCTCCTTAATGAGGATATTGCTGTAATACACTGCCTGAAAAATGGTGGTGGTTGTAAATTACTGTGCCAACTGGAGGCTGTAGTATCGCTAAAAGGATTTTTAAAAGCCCAGATTTATGTAGTCAGTATGGCAGTCACAGAATAGGGGAGTGATAATGATTTCAACATATTGACCTTTTTATAGAGTTGTATTACAAAGCAAAAATATATTTGAGAAGATATCAAACACGCGTTTGCCAGGGAGCATGAAGGTTGGGGAGGCGGGGGGGAGAAACGCAGTTGCACAGAGGTCAAAGTTGAAGCAAAGTTGCACAGTTGCACAGAGGTCAAAGTTGGGCTGGGAGGTAGTGTAGGTCTACTTGCAAGCCACAGACTGAACGTGCTATGCCAAAGTACAGGTGATCCCAGATGAGACTGGCATACTCCCATAGACAGCACATACCTTTTAGGGCAAAAGCCTGTGTTATCCAAGATGAACCAAACTTAAATTCTACGGAATGGTTTCAGTGGTGTGACATATACCAGAAAAAAAGTGTATCTGAATGTAATGTTCAAGAGGGCAGCCCTTTATTTATTCCAAAATGCAACTTATTGATAATATTGTTCTGATCCATTTCATGATGCAGCTTTTTTTAAAATTTGTCAGACAGAAGCAAAGATTTTGGTACTGGGTATGTGAAGAGCAGTGATGATAGGTTCTCTGAGATGAAGACTCACAAAGATTACTTTGTTTCTAGGTTGTCAACCATTACCCTAAGCAAGAGAGCTCCCAAGGGGCGGGGGAGGGGGGGGGAACTTAAGTGTGGCTCTGAAGTACGAGATCATGCAACAAATTGGTCATCTAATGCATGGGATGAGTTTCTTGCATGATGTGACAACTTCTGTGGAACCAGGCTGGATTTTTGGGAAAAAAGATGCTGGCTAGGGAAGCTCAAAAATTACTTTCTGTTCCACAAACATGCTCTCTCTCAAATGATCTACAGTATGTGGGAAACTGCAGTGTCTTACTAGAAGAGAAACTGCTAGTCCATTTTAGATATTATCTAAAATGGTTACTAGGAAAAGAGGGAAGAAAGTGTCCTGACAATAAACTCAAACTGTCTTTGTCAAAAGTCATTCTCATTGTTGTTTGTGCCTCTTCTCTTTTCTTTGGATGAGCCGTACCTCATGGCATCTATTAAACAATATACAGAAACTAGAGTGTTACATATTCTTTCAACAGATACTTCCTCATCGTGCTTCAAACATCCTGCTAGCATCAAGACTTCCTGCTGGTTCTTTGTGATACTGGTATAGCCTCCGAAAGACGTGCCAGCAATAATAAATATGAAGGGGGGTAACGCTGGTACTCTAAGCTTGGTCATCCTTTATGCCCTAATCTGTAGACCATGGACTTCCAAGTTCCTCTGTCTGGGAAGATGCCATCAGTGACAGCAGCTCCTGGTTCTGTGCCAGTCCATGTGCAGACATGACAGCATGTGGGCCCCAAGTGCTGCCTTTCCATACTCCTGCAGCAGAACTCCAGAGACCAACCCTGAGCTCTTTCCCACCATCCTATTTCACACCCATCTCCCACAAACTAGAAGCTCAGCTCGTGTCTTCAGCCAGTCCACCTTGTCCTCAAACCCATGGAACAATTGCAAACAGCTACAGCTAGCAGTGACACCAGTTCAGCAATATGTTATGGACAGACAGCACTGCAATTCGGGTGGGTACTTCCATGTGCACTGGGAGGTGTCCCTGCCACCAATGCCCACTATCAAGCTGTGGTTTGTGCTGACAGTTTGGGAGCTATTAGTGTAGGCTATTAGCCTACCACTTTCAAGACTGTTGCTTACAGTCTATTTTATAGTGTTCTCTTCATCTGAAAACATTGAGGTTTCCTCAATATCTCTGAAAATATGTGGCCCTGAGACAAACGTCAATATGTATTAAGTATCATTCCAATGAATAAACTAGTAAGATAAATGACTTCACATCTTGGTTTGCCTTTCTTGAGAACTTGATGCCCTAAGAGACACTACGTGGAAAAGTAAGATTCCAAGAAATACTGCCTAACTGGGAACACTCGAACAGAGAAGATGTACATTTTTGCTGGCAGTCTTCAATTAAACTTTTCAGCAGTCTGTAACTGAGAAAGTACTTGAATTTGGAAGTCAATTTGTTTCCTTAATGTTTGCAAAGTAGTCGAGTTTTATTTTCTCCTCCCTAGCCCCTAATTGAACAATGTTTTTATTGTGATATAGAACAATCAAATAGGGAAAAAGTGTGACTCTAGACTAAAGTGTGGTATGATCTACATAAATCGTGGCCTTTGTAAGAAAAAAATTGAAGATACAGTTTTTGCATAAGAGTCACCCCAGTGAACACTGATGAAAATGTAAGAGGCTAATGATTTTTGCCGTATTACAAGCTAATTCAGACCAGGTTCTGGCCCTAGGCAGTACACAATTTAGTTGATGGAAATAAAAACTCAGTTGCCTAATGCAGGAAAGTAGATAACAGTCTGTTAACTTTCTTCTTCTGAGGAGGTGAGGTCCCTTTGGATTACACAGGCACAAGCCTATTAGCTGCATTTGGCAGCACTGTGCAAATTAATCCACATCTGGCAAACACTCATTTCTGCTCTCTGTTCAGTGAAGATATCTAATTTCAACAGATTAATTGTATCAGCCTGGGGTTCAAGTGGAATTAACAGAGGACTGAAAAGGTGGACACACAGAATGGACCCGCAGAAGGCTTACTGGGGCATCATGTATATTTTCATCCCTATAGAAGACCAGATAAGAAAAAAAAACAGGCACAGAAGAAAACAAGGGTACATACAAGCTCAGGCAGGTCAGTTAAAGTGTTCTTTAGAGAGGGAGTTCAATAAAGCATCTTCTCGGTGGCTTGTTCAAGGTCTGCATTTGCTCTTTTAATTCTGTGTAGAAGGCAATAATACAGCAAATAAATCTGAAATAACTTAATTGTTCTGCAGTAGTTTTGTGAGCAACAGAATGAATGAATGTCCGTATCTTCGTATCTTGTTTTCTCTGCTGGGCAGCACAGTGCACACTGCAATAATATACTCAGAATATTTATGGAGTTTTTCTTCCAAATGGATTTTTGTAGTGTCTAACAAGAGATAACCTCATACTGTAGTCTTCCCTTAGTGAGGTTGCTATTATGGTCCCTCTCCTTTACAAAAGACCTAGTTCCATGACACTCACAGAAACTTCATATTTTTATTAGCTAATTTAATTAGCTAAATTATCTACTTTCAAACAGTTTTGACAGGGAGGTCCCAACAGGGTGGAAAAGCCACTAGGAGGAGAAAAAAGGATTCTTGAGATCACATGCAGCATAATCACATTACACTCAACTAGGTTTCCTAAGGAAACCTTAGTAAATCCCACACCCTTTCTCCTCAGTTATGGGGTAGGCTCAGTACTGTGACTGGAGGGAGAGTGAGTCTGAAGGTACAGTTCTGGTCCTGAATATGGTTTGTGTCATAAGGAGCCTGTCAGGAAAGCATTTTACAGACCTAACAAAAAGAACATTCCTGTCCCTAGAAGCTGTTTATTAGCCTCAGTTGTTATCTCCACTCTGAAGCCTGGAAAGAGCTATATTTCCTCACAGATGGGCACAAGAAAAGACCACAGCTGCCTGTGGGATGGGAAAGGTGAGACTAGGTGATAGTAGCTAAGTAATTCTCAAGGACGTTTAG